TGTGCATCTGAGCTCTTACATTTTGTGCATTTATTTCCTGGAAAAATGCACTGTTTCTCACCATCAGGTACATCAAGCAAAATAAAACCTTTTATAACAATGCAAAGGAATAAAACCCCACCCACTGCTGATAATGAAACTGTTCAGCTATGTATTCACTGGGGTGCTTAATCAGGTTTTTGAGTCAGCAAAACATCAACTAATTTTGTTGTTGATGCATATTTAACCATATATTTTGGTGTTTTGTTCTTTACGGAAAGTAGTATCATACTTATATTGCATATGTCTGTTTTTTTCTGAGCCAGAATTGGAGCTCAGGAGTATGTATCTCTCAGCTTCACAAGCAATCAGTGCTACACCATCCTGATTATTCTGTCTCACCTTTTAATAACTGAAATTTTCAAATAGCTCTACAAACACCCACCTGACCTAAAAACACTTCTCCTATAACTGGAACTTTTCTCCTTTAACAAGGAATTTCTCATGCTCTATGAGTACATCACAGTTACTCCTAGCTCAGTGACCCCACTCCTTTCAGAAATGGCCTGGCTTTGTCATTCTTGTAACTTAAAAGCAGGACCTAGCTTTAATTCCCAAGTGACCTCACAAGGCTAATCTAAAGCTCATGTAAAGGCCTGGAAATGGTCTTTAATGTTGCCTACCAAAAGGGAAGATCATTTCTGGCTCCCTTAGGGGTAATAGGGCAGGAACCTAAGAGTATTTCAGGTGAAAAGTAACTCTGAGACCTGGCCAGCTCTGGGCAGATCTGCTATTACCTCTGTGCCCATGGTACTTAAAAGAGAAACTCTTATTCAGTAATACCCAGTTGCCTCTGATTACCATAATGACTGTAATTAGTGCCTACACCACCAGAGTAGTGTGTGCTGGTCCAGCAGCCCTCCACCCACGGCTGGCACCCCCACCATTTCCTGCAGCCCACGAGGCGGCGGCCGCTGAGCACTCCCTGCCTGTACTGACACTTCTTGCACTGAGGTGGCTAACATGGGAGTAATGGTAATGCAAGAACACAATATTCTGACTTCATCTTCCAGTAACATCGTATTTCTCCTTGTTTCTCTTCTCAGGCATTCAAAGGTTCTGACTAGAAATTATTTTCCAGCTTAGAGAAAGCCTTCAAGGTGCAATAAACAGTAGGATTTAAGTACAGCATATGCTGAGAATGAAGCTATAAAAAAAAAGTAATAATGCCAGATCTGCTAGCAATCAGGGCAACTCTGCTGAAGTGAAGGGAATAATTCCAGTTTGCATTTTCTGAGGATCTGATCCCTACTGAAGCTGTTAAACATAGAATATCGCTTCAGTACACTAGGTGCCTGTCAACTGAAAGACATGGAAATAGAAGCATATTTTGTTTAGAGATCTTTATGGGACCTGTTCTGGAAGGCAGGTCTCTGCAAATCACTGAATATTTTGAGCACTGGCTCAAGGCAGTGCTCACTCAAAAATCTTGCAAGGTTCGTTCCTCTTGCCTTCATTTTGAATGCAATGGTTTATCTTTGTTGACACCTACAGGAGCAGATAAGATCAAATAATGAACTGCTTTAAACTTCTTTAAATGACATGGGTGGTTTCAATAAACATTTTCCATCAAAATAATACAACCAATGCTTTACCATGCATCTTCCAATGCACACAATTCTTTTTGGTTTTTAAATCCAGTGCAGTGAGGAAGCTGTGATTATTCAGAGGCAATGAAATTGCAGTTCCACTGATTGTGGTGTTAACAGCTGCAACTTTGAGGACTTCAGACAACTTTTGAGTGTCGATCAGCAGTGGTGCTGCCTCGTGGCTAGAAGCTCAGGTAGGAACAGGGAATAAAAATGGTTGTAAAGCTACCTCAAAAATAGTAACAAAAAATAACAGTTGCATTTCAGTAAATGCATGCACCAAAGTTAATCAGTCTAAGATAATTTGGAGTCACTGGATCACAGAGGATTTTTGAGGATTCCCTTTGCATATATTTCTTGCTGAAGGTGAACTTCAAAGACATACATAAATTGGACAGTGCCACTGCTATACTTCAGCAAAACATGCAGACTACAGTAATGCAGATGCAAAAACATGTAAGAAATGCTCATAAATACTTGCACATGTAAAACCCTACAGTTTTGCTTTTATATTACTAACTGCTCATTTTGCTTAGTTATTTTAATAGTGTTTTGGACTTAATTTCTAAATATAAAAATACTTTTTTGGAATAGAGGATCATTATCTCACTTTATTAACAGTGCACAGGTTTAATCATAGCAAAATATTGTTCAAATATTAATCTTTTAAATATGAGGGAAAAGAACAACTAACAAAACTGAAAAAAGGTTCAGAGACTAGTCTTCCTGATGAGTGTCTTAAAATGGATTCTTCAACAACATCTGCAAGCTGTAAGTGATATTTTTTTTCCCCTCATAAACATGTAAAATCATATACAAGTTCAGTCATGATTGTTAAATTGTGGATCAAAGACACAGTTCGTTATGATGAAGAGAGTATTTAAATACGCCCACAGAGAGCATTCACTACCAGTGCCACCAGGCCCGTTGTTACTGCCTTTGCTGCTTTTGAATACAGACACTGTAGCTGCTTGGTTGAACAAATATACATATTTCTGATCTGACATTAACAATCTTGTGAGCTCACACCATCTTGCAACAGGTACAACCTATCAAGCCTCACACACAGAGAGGTTGAGGCTTGTGTGTCAATCCAGGCTCCTGTTTCTTGGCAGCCTGGGCCACATCTCCTGCACTGGCCATGCATTGCCTTCACTCTGGTTCCTTTACCAGAGTTTATTTGCTGACCAACTACATGTAGAGCATTTAATTGCAGAACAGCAGAGCATGCTGGACTGCCTCCTGTGACTCGACTTCTTCCAGGACTCATTTCTCTGGTCAAAACAGTGCTGCATGATACCAGCCCCTTCAATTCAGGTTTCAATCTCACTTCCCCCTTTCCATTATACAGAATCTTCCTCATGCACTGAATCACACAAATCATGAAATGAAAAATACTAATAAAGTTTTAAAATCTGCCAGTCAGAGCTGCCTTTAAAGCTATTCATCCAAAGCACGTCTGCATGCATGTTTCTATTACGTTTATATGAATGACCAGATCTTCTATAATTTGTGCTTTTTCTGTTCAAAGCTTGACCGACTGCTGGACATTGGGAAATGTATTTATGAGCCAAGGAAAAATGTCATAAAATACTTTGATGAATTCGAGTGTCTAGTTTTGTTGACACACTTTCCTTGGAACTTTCCTCTTCCTTGGAATCTCAGGCATTTTCAAAAATTCCTAACTTTAAACTTTTTGGTGGATTTGCCCTTGACAAATCATTCCTGCCAAAATGTCTGTGGCAGTTCAGAAATTACACCCTTCACAGATTTTTATCCTTGCTTCTTTGCCAAAGATCCTGTAGCTGGAGCTCTTCTAGCATAACATATCAAGTAAGTGCTGCTCATTGCATACATAATCTGAAATTGTACTTTGAAAAACCTCTTACTGCAGGCTCATTCAGCCATTTGAATTACAAGGTGCTAAGCTTTGCTTGATATCTTACTTGTAGATTTCAGGAGTGGAGACAAATAAGATTTGTTTTCTTTTGCTGCCACTTGCATTGGAAAGATCTACCATATTTGGAATTTTTCCATATAGCTAAATATGAAAGAAGGTGATTTTTAAAACACAACACTTTGCAATCAGTTCAAACAATCATTTTAAATTCTTTCTTTGCATGTGTCCAAGTTTTCCTATTGCAACTTGTTTTACTCAGCTCAGAAATTAAAACCATTTCTCCTTCCCACATATGCTATCCTTTTGGTCAAATTCCTTATATCATCGTCATGACTTTTCTTTTTTTGTTTTCATTTGGCCTTCAAAATAACATCTTGTTTGGGTAATTTGAATTAAATTTTATAGTTTGCTAAACCTCCACAGGGTTGTCACATAAAATAATAGTATTATTACTGTCTGAAGTTATGCCAAATTCCAAGCATGGGCATTACAATGAGCAAGCAGAGTCTTTGCCATCTCCATTTTGCTACCTATGTCACCAGGCCATCAGTAGCATTGGAATTCTTACAAAAGTTTCCATTACAAGTGTTGAGCCTCAGGACTGAATAAAGTACTGGAAGTTTATCACTACAACTTCTCTACACCAAGTAATATTGAAGACTCCATGTGAATTTCTTGTCACTATCCATTTGTGCTCTGGTAAAGTCAGTTGCTTTTTCTCAGGAGAGTTTGCTCTGTCATATACCATAGCTGGATCTCATTCATAAGAAACCATTGTAAGATCTTAAGATCCGTGATTTCTGTTGTCTAATTTTGAGTAACTGGAACTGTACATTTGTTTCTACCCTTTAAAATATTTCATTTTATCTTCAGTAAAAAATACTGTCTCATTATTTTGTTCAGTCTGTACTTATTACACTTCTAAAAATATATAGACCTCCTGATAAATGAAACTGTCTAGCTGAACTTGGATTTATTGGTTAACTGTTGTTTATAGGTACAGGGAAAGGGAAATTCAGAAAGTTAGGCTTGTACTTGAGGGGGGAAAAAAGAAAAAAACAGTTAAATACATTTACAATAAACCTTTTTTTTCTTAAAAAAAAAAGTTCTTTGAACTTCATAAAAAAATTCTCTATTTAAAAATATTTCTAAGAGAAAGAAAGTAATTAAGCAGACATTTTGACTAAAAATTTTGACCTCTTCTTCTATTTAAGAATCATTCTAAAATCATAACATTTTGGGAAAGTGATGCAGATTTTTCTGTAATAGCCTAACCTCACCACAAGATCCACTCTTAAGAAGTGCCTCATACAAAGTTCCCAAACAACATCAGCCAAACTTTCAATAAGTACCAGCCTGGCTGCAAATGTCACTTTACTTTATGTTGGATTTTTGAAAAGCAGAAAACATGAAAACAGCTATGTCTAGTAGAAAAAACCAACCAAACAAACAAACAAAAAAAGCAAACAAAGCCCCTTACTGTTTATTTACTTTTGGACATATCCTGCCATACGCTTCAGGTTCATTTTCATAACAAGCAGCATTACCATAAACTAAATATGTCTTTGTAGCTGTAAACATCAGTGAAACATTAATGAATCAGAGAGGTAGAAGTGACATAAAAATGTGCTGCCAAATTATACTTTCCAAAGATTTTTTGTTTGTTTAACGCTTTGTTAGATATAAAACATTATTTATCGTATTACAGGACTAAGAAAAAGATTTCCATTAAATAAACAGAAATGAACTATCTTCATTCCATCACCAGGAACCCAGTGGTTCTGTAAAGTAAAAAAAACAGGTTGAAATAAAAAATCTGGTTACATCCATGAAGTATGAAAGGTGTATTTTTCTCTATATCCCTTTCCTTCCCCTTCTGATTTATTTTGTGTCCTTTATTCAGTCAATATCATGAAGACCAGCAGTAATCCACCTATAAAAAATAAATTTTTTACATTGTTCTATGAGTTCTGAGGTTAATAGAGGTTTAGATTTTGATTTTGCATATTTTGATATTACTGTCACGTTTAGTAATAAAAAAAAGTTCTCACTTCAACATTCATAATGACTTTATGTATACATTATTAAATTCATAATATTTTTTGTTGGTACTTTTTCTACCTTTATTCCAATTACTCATTGGTCAGTGGTACTGATAGTCTTATTATCAATTTACCCTTTGAGCATAAGGGTTTTAAGTTATATATTTAACTGGAAAAGTTTTCATTTATTGATGTGTGCACTTACATGCTTTTCTGATAAGCAAAAAAAAAGGTGTTTAAATTCTACTTCTACCGTAACACACATTATTTTGAAAAATGGCCTCTCTTCTATAACAGATATCACATGGAAAGGTGAACAAAATATGTGATGAAGCATTTTTTATGCACACCATATTATGTTCAGATGATTTGAATCAAGAAATTCTTGAATGTGATTTGTATATAAACATTTGAAACCAGAGTGAACAGACAATTTGAAAACAAATTATACTCTAACATCTTTTACAAACATTTCCACTGACAAAACACCCATGAGTCATATTTTTAAAGCTTTGCAATAAAAAAAGCTGCTATAACAGGGCTCTATTCCACACGCACACACAGAAATGCTTGGAAACTCACATTAGTGTGATAGTGGAATAATTCTATTCCAGAACATGTTCTCTTGCCAACATCCTTTTTTTTTTTTTTTCCCTATGGAAACAGCAAAGCTTTCCCCATGAAATACAAGGCTGGAAACATAGTGTACACAATCACCAGAAAAGCATGTACATTTTCACAGAGCCTCCTTGCAACAGGATAATGCAATTAAAAATAAAAGTATATTTTTCTTTTATTGGTATTTCAGTCAGTGAACTCATATTTTAAATGAAAATTTTATGCTTGCCATTATATGTAAAATACATATAATTTTACATTTTCTTCTTCCTGAAGAAGAAGAAAACAGAGTAAAAAAGAAGTTTATAAAGCATATCCTAACAAACTTAGAATTTCAAAAACCTTATGAAGCTTTGATTTTGTTTACATAAAGTAAAAACCTAATCAATTTATCTCTGGCTCACATATTCCAATGTATTTGTAGACATAAGATTAAGCAAGCAAATGTAAATCAGGCATGTTTGTGCCTTCCAGAGTTTGCTCCAGGACCTTTTTAAGAGTGCAGCAGAGAGATGCTGCATGCTACAATTGCTTGCAGGTGATGACCTCCAGAGCACCCGGCAGTCCTGGCACCCTACCGCCTCTGATAAACTCTAAAATTTGCTACACAGGTCTGCACTACTGAGATTCTATCAGAAATTGTGCCAACAGGCAAGAAAAAGTCCAGAGAAGTGAGGAAAGTATTCTATCAAAATATTTCCCTGGTATTTCTGCAGGAGCCTCCACAGAGCTGTAAGACAGGCCTGGGGCAGCTCCGTCCAAGTGTAATCTGTTTCAGAGAAATTACGTGGAATGTTTTATCTGGGAGGGCAAAACAGATACCTCAACAGTTCATTCTAACTTTACGATCCATGAAAAATGAAGGATCCCATAAACTTCAGAAAAGTATTTAAGACAAAGATATGGCCAAGCCTATGAAGAAAATTTATAGAGCCAAGAGCAGTTTAATATACTACAGCAAGAGAGAGCAGGCCAGGGATGGTTTGTATCACTGTGCTAACACAGCTGAAGTGTCTGAGAGAAAGGGATGAAAGAATTTTTATTAGAAAGAAAGATGTAAAAAGGCTTCTTAGGGCATGTGATAACTAACTGAGTGAGTTGCATCAAGAAAAGACTTGTTACAGAGACTTCTCTTGATAATAAAATTTTCATTTTTCCTGCAATTATTAATAATAATGCGGCATTTAATTTTTTTCCTCCTATTTAAAAAAGACATGAGAACCCACTTTAAATCCCATTGGGCTGCAGAGAACAGCACACAGCCCTAATAAATACTTGAAGCCTGATTTTTTTTTGCACCAGTATTGTGCTGAACATAATTTATCACTAGGTCCCATACATATATTCCTTACCAAACACGGGTGAACACATAGTAGGCACATAGGAAGGTTTCTTGTGGAAGTCATGACATTGCCATGGACAAAGAAATATGGTCCAGAGGCTTGTGGCTGAAGTAACCTCACCAGCTTCAGGAACCAAGGATGACAAGGGCTGAGGCTCCATTGCCATGATACCCTGAAATGGATGATGCCATGATGCCATGAAATGGAGATGATCTGTGGGTTTTGTTAATGATGTTACCCAATTATCCAAGTGAGATGTTGCAGGATGTCTTTAAGTTGGCAGAGTTTATGCATCCTTTTTCTTCTTTTCCACCCATTGTCTTTGATGTTCAGACTGCACATGTTATCTTAACAGAGAAAGAAAACCTTTCTTCATGTTCCAGGACAGCTTTTCTTTGTTTTGTTTTCATAATACTGACTGAAGATCAAACTCACAGGTTCACACTTGATCACTGCCAGATACACTACAAAAAGCTGCAAGTGTCGTTTCAGAAAGCCTACAAATATTTGGGGGTTGGTTACCTGTTTCAGTTCTGTATCTGCTGATGCAGAACTGGTAACCAACAAGTAACCAACTGCTAACCAATTAACAGTTAACCAACTGCTTTTTTGCTGCTCTAAAATAATAATTATAGTCCAGAAGAAACCATAGAGAAAGGAAGAGAATGAAGACACTTTTGGGGTTCCCTGAAATGTTCCTTTCTGGAGGACTTGTAACAGGACCTTAAGGAAATTTGGGACCTATTGATCCCATGGGTCATTAAGATCTGGAAAGAAAGTACCCCCTGGAACAGAGGTAAAAATTCTTTGGAATCATGTAACTGTGAATCAAAACCAACTTAGCAGGAGTATTTCCTAACTTCCGAGCCCTTGATTTGGGAACACAAATTTTCAATGGAGAAGAGAATGGCAGAGCAGTGAGCAGAAAAACGTCCTCTCCATGGTCTTAATTAGATGGAGGCAACACTGTTTTAATAAGGTATTTGCCAAACCTCTGTGGTATGTGAATTGTAGCACCTTTTTCTTGTGCTAATGACCCTTGAGAGGAAATTGTAATTTTCAGGCTACAAGTAAATGCTCAGGAAAATAGTTAAGGTGGTCTTAATGCATGTTTGGTTCTTCGATATTTTGGGTTGAATAGAGCTTTCTAGTGCAGTGCAGGTCAAGTGACTGTTATCAACCTTCAAGTTTCCCATAGAAAATCAGCACTCTCAGCACAAAAATATGTATTTCTGTATTCAAAAATATGTATTTCTTCTCTATATATTTCAACAGCCAGTAGGGATGGCTATTGACCATTAAAAGTCTAGAGCCACAGTTCTGGAATCAGTGTTTTGAAATACTTGTAGAATTAAAGAGAACAGCAAAGCTTTGAAGTGTCTCTCATTGTTAATTGCAGTTAAATAAAAAAAAGGTTTTTTTATTTAAAAATAAGTGCTCTATTGTGCTTTGTGGGGACAGTTTGTAACTCAGAAATAGGACTTATTGGTCTTGGGAGCTGATGGTAGCAAGTTAGATATACAATTAAAATGTTCTGTCTTCAGTATGATTAACCCTTGGAAATTTTTCCACTTACAGGAAAATTATTCCACTTCTAGTTCTCTTTTGCAGTTTTTCATCCCGCTATCTCCTTTTTTCCAGAGGTCTCAGTGCCAAAATAGTTACAGCTGCCAGCTGGAGCTGCTAAAGGTTTTGAAGGCAGATCTCTCACCGAAGTATAATATTACTGTTTTGCATTATGATGCTTCTGCGTTGCTCTCTTTATTGTTTAGAATCAGACCATGAATAAACGTAAACTTAATATAAGCCCATTTAACTAATATTCTTACTTTCTTTTTCAAGACCTCATCAAAGGAAGTAATATTCAAAAGGGGTTTTCAAAAAGAAATTAAATTCCAAGTTACTTTTGTCATTGGAGTGCAAAACAATGCAGGGCGGCTTTACCTTGGAAGTTTTTGCTTCTCAGGCTCCCCCACATACAAAGGAAGAGCAGCTATTCCCAGTCACCTGTCTGGCTGCTCAGCCTGCAACACTGGGCAAAAAGAAAAGTGCATTACAGTCACAAGAATACATATTAGCACTAGTTTACAGTCATGGTGTCTGTCAATGCAGTGTACAGCTCACAGTCTTTCCCTCCAAAACAGAGACCAGATACAATATGAAAGTGAAAGAGGCCCCAATAATTTTTGCACTGCTGTGAACATTGTTTTTTCTGTAATTTTTAACCCTAGAAACAATAAAAACCAAGAAGCTACATATTCTCTGTATATTAAGCTTTGTGCTTTCGCATATGATCAATATATCAGCACCTCATACAAAAAATGGACTGACATTTTGAATAGCTCATAAGATTACTGTAAAAATTCTCCTAGTTTTATGTCTAAGCTCTTGCATTTGCAAAACCTTGAATTCAGCATTTGTGTTTACTGTTTCCTATGTTTAACTTGAATTTAAGAAAGAAAAAATGCAGTTAGTTTTTCTTTGTTGGTAACAGAATCAAACCCATACAATATGAAAAACAGTGTGTTTAAGACCCAAGGAGGCTTTGGGATGGAGGTGTTTTGAAAAAGTGATCCTTTGTCAAGTGACATGTCCAATTCTCATAAAGAGGTAGAAAAAAGCTGGGTAAAGATTTCTCAGTTCATTTGGTGAAAAATGTGCAATTCAAATCCATGAGTGACAACTTCCAATAAAGAGTGCTTGAACAGTGATTGTACCCTACAGCATGAATTTATTTGGCAGAATAAAAAGCACTCATACATTTCTAAGGACCAGTATGTAGGTGAACAGTCCTGCAACATACTACATGCTTTCAATTCTCAACAAAAGTAATGGCAGATGAATGAAGGTTCAAACCTGTACACATCTAACATATTTTCTTTTTTTTCAAAAGGATATGAATCCTTTTTCTTTTTTTCTTTTTTTCCTTTCCCCAAAAGGCATTTCAGCAATTTCTTCCAGCAGTATATTACCTAGCACATTATTCACTGTGTGGAGGGCACTAGCCTGGAACTTGAGACCTTACTTTGCTCCAGGTTTCCAATATGACCTTGAAGAAGTCAGAATCTTTTTAATTTTTTTTAAGAAACTGAAACCTTTTGAATGCCAGACCGCATTCTCACTTCTCTATCTTCAGTACCGTTTTTTGGCTAATAAAAATAAAAAGGCTTTTCCACCTTACAGATCATAACAAAAATAAATTTTAAAAATGAATACAGTCAGATACTGAAGAGCTTTTTTAATAAGGCTGTTAATGAAGCATTATAGATGTAGTCTGCATATTTGATCTTGCTGACGAAAATGGTGAAATTATACAAACTATAATTACAGACTTGTCAGTCTCTGTCTTTGAAAGCAAAACACTGCCAGTAAATTAAAATACTTATAATTTAATATATGATAACCACTAAAAAACTAGTCTACTTTTAATTGTCATGACAACTCTCTTTAATCAGAAAATTTTGAGAGATCTAAAATACAACATAGGTCATTGTAAATGGAAGATTGAGAATATGCATGCAGACATAAAAGAGTTCATATAGCTCCCTGTTATCATCGTCCCAACAGAACCAAGTATTTTCTGCCAGACAGGCTATGAAAAACAGACATTTCACATGTGTGCAACTGGAATTGATTTTCCTCTGGAATTACTACATATATGGAAAAGTAAGAACTATGCACAGACTTTCACATACCTACACATGAATATAGGAAAGTACACATAGGTATGTGCATCCAATTTATAGAGATTTAGAATAGCTAAGAAAAAAATGCCATAAAACAAGATTTCAAAATTACAGAAGAATTAAAAATATGTAAATTCACAGTTCTGGGAAAATGAGGTATGGCTTATAATGTTGAGGGTTTGAGTTTGAAACTAATGACTCCGTAATAGAAATAACATCAGTATTTCTCTGTGTCTTGGAATATTGCCTAGGACAAAATAATTACGGAGTCCACAGTTTGTGGCAGCCTTTTCTCATTTTTATATAGCAAAAAGATTAGAATGCATTGAGAGCCTACATAGTGAAAGAACAGAGCCATACACATGCACAAACATATGCCATATATATGTATATAGTATTTAGCAAGTGGAAGATGTGCTGCAATTGCTCCCAAATTTCATAGATGTGATCCATAATGCAGATTGTTTATTGCCCTGTTTATTATTAAGTGTTTCTAAAACCCCATACTGAATGATAAAATAAGGAATCCCTGAAGGGTAAAAATCAGGATTTCTAATTCTAGAGCAACATGCATCCTCTTACATATTAACAAAGCACTTCAACATCTTATCAGCATCATACAAAAAAATGAAATCCTGCTGTAGCTCTCAGATTGTCTACCTTTTAACTGTGGGCAGTGGTTTTAAGTCTCTGATACAGCAAACTCTGATACATCTTTTTAAAAAACAGAATTTATGCATGTCATAAGTCTGGTTTCATAAACTGCAACCTGTAATGGCAGGCACAAATTTATTGGACAGACACAGGTGAGAAATAAGAACATTTAGAACAACCAACAGAATAAAACCAGAAGTATAATGACCTATTATGATATGAAAATTCAGATCATATCAGCTTCATGATTAGTCATTAGAGTTTAAAATACATACTCATGAATTAAAATATTCTGAACTATTTCTCCAGTTAGGAAAACAAAACAGTATCTTCATTTAGATTGTAAAGAATATTTCTTCCAGTGCAGCAAAGAGACTTACTGTTCTTGCATGTAGAAAATTGATATTGAAAAAATCTTGCTTAAATTTAGAACTCGTGTATGATTTTTCCAGGGTTGCAAACTACTATGGAAGGGTACAAAGCAGAAGGATGTAGGGCAGAAAAATTAATCAAGAAAAGACACCATGACGATTTCTTTGGGAATATGGGAATACTAAAGCTACAGAAGATGCAGAGAAAACAGAACCTGTAGTGAGAGGAAGAATATAAAAGACATTTCAGATGTTTCTCAGTGGGAAGAATGAGAGGAAGGCTGAAAGCCACCAAAATACAGAGAAACTCAGGGGTTAGGGAGAAGCCACCTCAGACTCAACTTATCTACATACTTGACAACTTGTTTCAAATTTGATGTTTTCTTACTCTCTCATATTTTCCATTAATTATAATTTTAGTTTGTGTCAGACCGTGCCTTTTCAAAGGAGATAATCCGTTTATCTCTGATTTCAACCTTTCTAACCTTTCAGCTTCTCTAACCGGAAGAAATATGTTAATTACGTGAAACTTGAAATACTGAAAAGGTCACAAAAACCTACAGAAGAGTGAGCTGTAAATTATACATCTTGCGACAAACGTGTGTGCACATCAATCTTTTTGAATTCACTCCAATGCCAAGCTTATTTTAATCTTCTTCAGGCATGCACTTTACAGACTTCCACATCACCCTTCACCTCAGTTCTACAGCTCTTTTCTGGTCATTGCTACTTGCAGCTTTCTTTGCACCAGCTGAGTTTTCAGCCTTTTTCTAGGCTATGCAGCAGGCTGTGCAATAGGGAAGGAACCACAGCATAAAGAGGCTGGAGATTATGTGAAACCTAGAAATGTTCCTCTGCCAGTGGGTCAGCAGAAAAGATGCCCCCATGTGGGAAAGTAGGGATGGAGATGAAGGCACCCATCTACCACCCATGATGTGAGGCTTGGCAGGTCTGGCCTGCCGCGTAAGTGCCAAGAGCTCTCTCTTCTTGGCTCCTGGATCAGTTTTAAATCAGATGGGGAGTGCCACCTGCTGGGTGACCTTCTGAAACTGAGTCATGGGTTTAAGATTAAGATAATTGTAACAAGAATTTATATGAGCAAAGACTCAGCAAGGGCCTAAAATTAAAGAATTGGCTAATCAGGCTCAGTGAGAAGGACAAATTGGTCTTAAGTAGCTCCCCTACAGTTCCATGGCCAGCTTGCTGTAACTTTTAGTAATCCTTTTCTTGCTGGTCAAAAATCTATAGGGCTTGCCCTCCTTTACATGTAATAAACCTTTTCAGACCCTACCTGCCTGCTAAATCTCTCCTAGATCTTAGAGTTTGGCTCCAAGGTGTCTTTTTCCATTGTCTTTTTAAATAAAGGAAAAAGAAATGTCCAACAGCTCTTGACAAGGTCTTATACCTACACATATCAAAATTAATAACAGAATATTCTGTGTTGTCCTAGAGATTTTGAAGGAATTTTCCACAATTCACTCAGTATAACTATGGACAATCAATGCATGGGATGGATCAAAATCTTCTGAGAAATGTGTTTCGTGTACACAAACCACTTGCTCAGCCTGACTCCGGGATTCTTAAAGTGAAGAGACTTAGAGCACAGACCAAGAAAGGCAGAATTCTGTCTTGGCTGGGCACATCAGAAGAAACTAATTTTATACATTGCTTTAAGTTTTTCTATTTAGTCTCTTAAATATGCCTCAGTAAGCTGGCCTAAGGAAGTTTAATAAATTATTTTATGTCTAGAAAGTGTTGCAAGTGGTGTGTAGAAGATGCATTTCTGTTATTTTCCCTGTTATCGGAGGTACTCTAAACTGAGGTGAAGGTATAAAATGTGGCAGAGTATAACTATATTTGGGCAGCTGTGAGACATTGGGTAAAGCACAACCTTTACCAAAGACTAACTATGATTTCCAAACAAAAATATTATGCTTGATTAGCTGATGAACACATTACACATGAAACCTCAGTTGTTATCTGCTGATATTTGTGGGTAAAAGTCAAAATAAATGCCAAAAAATACTAATACTGAAAAGAGAAATGGAAAACTGAAGATGGATCTGAAATAAAAGTGTAGCAAAATCCCAGAAGGTTCATGCCTGATGATAAATCTCAATAGGCTAGTGAAGAACAGCAAGGTCTGCAATGAGTGCCTTGGCTTCAGAATCAGAAAGGAGGTTGCTCAGGAAAAGTCAGTCAGGGCCCAGGATCTGACTGTTGCCAAAATCCACATTGGAAACGGGGAGGTTATCACTTAATTAAATTAACAGTGCCACCATTTCATAATCTGACTGCCTCCTGACAAGACAAAATGGTCTAAAACATGGCAAAGTACTCCTTAAAGAGCTGAGTGGAATTAATCAATCAGCTTCTGTCTGAAGCACAGGACACAGCAGCAAATGTGGCTGCAGCAAAGAGTAAAGCAATAGAAAAATCACACATGCTGGCATTAGTTTAGGTTTTTAAGATTATGGTCAATGATCAAACACCACAAAGATTTTGTGTCTGTGGCCAAATAAAAAGGAGACTATCCTGCTGAGAGGATTTCAAAGGAACTATTTACAAAATGATGTAGAGTAATTGAGAAGAGGGAGCCAGGCTGATCATAACAATGTGGTGGTGTTGGGATGAGAGACAATGGGCATAAAATGAAAAAGGAAAAGTCCGAACTAGATAAAAGGAAAAGCTTTTATCAGCTGAAACAGGTTGCCTGGTTATGAGGAGGGTGTGCTGTGTCCGTCTTTTGTTTTCACAGTAAAGCCAAAGAAGCCTGGTCTGCCCAGCTATAAGCTGATGTGAGCAGGAAGTTGAACAAGATGCTTCCAGAGGTTTCTTTCCATCAGAATTTTGTGTGAGTCTAAGATTATATCGTACTGTGGAAGCAAATAGCTAAAAAAATATTTAAACTCTACGTAATCTACATGAGAAGAAAAATGCTTTAAAAATTGATTGGTAGAAGAACTAGATGTTATGATGAGAAAAAAAAAAAGAACACAGTAAAATTTCATTATATAAAGGATTATAAAGCATTCAAAGACCTCTGCTCATGTATAAAGATCACACAAGAATTTAAATACTTTGTCTGACAAGCAGTGATTGTGAATAGCAATATTCATTTAAGTGTTAGTGGTCAGGATGAATAGAACAATAAATTGCAAAATTACCACAACAGGAATAATCTGTGTTTAATGCTAAATAATCTGCAGTGTCAAGTTAATCATTGAACTCGATAATGATTAAGCAAGTCACAAAGTACATGTCAGATTGGTGGCTAGCGAGGAGGTCAAAAGAATGACTATGGCAGAGAATGAAAATGAGATTTCTTGGGAGACTTCTGCATTAAAGGGCAGATATGCAGAGAAATTCTAATCACGGTCTAGGGAACTCCTTTCACAGAATAGCTGTGTGAAATGAA